GTCTATGTCGCCGAGATTCCAGTCCACCTGTTTCGACCATCTAGTGCATTCTCCTCTCTTGTGCGTCTACTCTTTCCCCTAACCGCTATTTTGCGTCTTTTGAATTTCGAATCTTGCCACTTGTCCACCCTTTTTGGAATGCGTCCTTTCATCTGTCAGAGGTCATGATGACCTCATGACCCGTGTTGCCTCGAATCTCGCCTTGTTTCCGCGTACCCCCTTTTCCTGCCGTTGGATTTTCTACTTTAATCCTACGGCTCGAAACTACGCGCCCGTTCATTTGCCTTCTGATCGCAGCCCTTCACTCTTTATGATCCTACGGTTGGCAATCTCTCATGTTTATTTTTCGTCCTTATAAATATCCACACTTAGGGAAATTTTTGCTTTTCTTCACTTTCGTATTCCATCGCATTAAGGCTTTCTGCAATTCGTGCTCTCCTGCAACTTGACGGTCCTCGATCATCCAACCGACAGAACATCGTTCACCATGAGTAAGTCTTCTTTAACCTTCTATTTATGTTTATCAGTCTTTTACTTTTTGCGTCCATCCTCTTCTCCTCGAATTTTTTGGTTTTACCTTTCTTTCCTCTCTCTCTTCCCCTCGCGCTTTGTTCTTCCGATTTCTGTTCTCCCACTGTGCCGTATGTACTCTCTTCTTCTTCTTCTCTTTTGTTTTCTTATTAATTGAAACTTTTTCTTTTTTTTCTTCCCCCTTTTCTCAGATTCCGCTACTTCGAGTGAAAATGATCGGCACAGTGGCAAGGACTTGACCTCTCCTTCCTCCTCCGCAACTCTCAGTTTATCGAGCGATTCAGTGCAAGAAATTCTTCAGCCTGAGCCCCTTTCTGTCCTTCCCCCTGCGACGACCAGTGATAGCCCCACAGCCACTGCTCTCTCTCCTTCTACCTATCTTGTCAAATAATACAAGTCTCGCACCCTGACCAACTGGAGTTCGCCCTAAGCTTGCTCTCCTCGCCGGTTGAACGCGGAACCTGCATGAAACTCCCACACCGGAGGTGTTTTCCGGTGAAGAGCCTCCAACGCTCAAGTCAGATCTTGAGAGATAATATGAGTGTATGAAAAAGTACCAGAATGTATTAGATCTTACTGAAAATGAGGATTTTCGCCCTTATTTATAAGGGCGAGTTACCTGAGCTGCACGCGCGAGCAAGGCGAGTCCGGCCAACTGTCTCCTGCTCGTCCGTACGGCCGCGCGCCTCCACTATCTTTAGTGTCAGGAGCCGCGTCCTCTTTGTCAGAGAATGTGAAAGTTCGTTGCAGCTACGTAGCCACTCACAGTGCGCCACGCGTCCTTCCTTTCACGTGCTGAAGATTCCCTCATGCCCCTCTGATATTCGACCAATCTTTTGCGACCACGCCTTATTCGACCACTCGTGGTGTTCCGCATCTGTCGACCACGTTTAATCTCTTCTGTCTACTCTCTGCTCCTTTGTTGCTAGTGTTTGGTCCTTCTTGACCAGGTTACTCGATCTCTCCTAACTCAGGTAATCCAGCGGTCCGACATATTTTCTCCGGTCGTCCGGGCGAACCGGTCTAGTATACAATATCCCATATCAACTATGTTCTGAAAATACTAACTCAAGCATCTTACTGGTTTCTAGGGTTAAAGATCTGATACCCTCTACTGAGCATAGACTTACGAATTCGTTTAGGTATATATAAACTGTAACTCAGCACTTACCTGGTAGTCGGCGAGGTGTAAACGTAGCATGGTCGGTTTTTTTTTCTGAAAATTTTCTGACTTAATAATGTATTCAGATACACAAAAACGTGCTCTGATACCATTTGTAACACCCCGCTAGCTTATTAAAATCAGAGTCAAATTTTGTTTCTAAAAATTACGTATTTACAAGCGAAATCATGATTCGAGGTGCTACTAAGAAACATTTCTTTTCTACAATTCGTCATCTTTTCCAAATTAAAAGTATTAAGAGAAAACGGATTATCTTAGTCAAACA